CGTATTCAGCACAATCGTCCAGTCATTATAACAAAATAAGTCATCTTTTTTATGATAGGTATAGCTAATATGAAGTTACCGTTGTTCTATCACAGTGTAAGTAACCACATGGTGGAGAATTGATTTGTTGGAGAAGTTGTTTGAAAAGCTGATTTTCCTGTGAGGCGTTTTGTCAGACCGTCACTCATACTTTGAGCTGTGTGTTGTATTGAGATGAATAAATTCCCCAGAAGCGCTGCTCATGTTAATCAGGTCAGCAGGAGTGTGTTTCTGCAGTGGCCGCTCTGAGATCTCTCAGCGTTTGATTAACATCCACCAGCGGGTTTTTAAGTGTCTGCCGCACACAGGACACTTCAGAAAGTGCTTTGTTCCAGCCTTTGGGAATACTGTCACTGTCTGTTGAATAACTCTGCTTTTTTTATAGGTCCAGATTGATTTATGTGTTTGACTGAATTCAGTGAGTGATTCACACAATTTATATGACATATATTTAATATATGCAGCAGCACTGTATGTTTTATTAAAGGAATAGTTTCAACCCCATATCTTTCCTAACTTGTATTTTCACAAAAGGAGATGCTGTTCTTTTCCAGATGCTGTCAAGCTGTTGTCTTTCTCAGACAAAACAATCGTATGATTTCAGAGAACTTGTATCGCAGTGCACAAGTATTACTGACTACTTTTATGATGCAGTTCACCTAAAAATGACAATTTGTTTGAAATTGACTCCTCAGGTCATCCAAGATGTAGATGAGTTTGTCTCGTCATCAGATTTGGAGAAATGTAGCATTACATCACTTGCTCAGCAATGGATGCTCTGCAGTGAATGGGTGCCGTCAGAATGAGAGTCCAAACAGCTGATAAAAACATCACAATAATCCACAAGTAATCCACACCACTCCAGTCCATCAGCTAATGTCTTGTGAAGAGAAAAACTGTGTGTTTGTAAGAAACGAATCCATCATTACAGTAATTTAACTGTAAACCGTTGCTTCTGGTTAAAATACGAGTCCTCTATTCATAATAATGCTTTCTCCAGTGAAAAGGTCATGTTGTCTGAAACCAAGAGAGAAATATGCACAGATCAAGCACTGTAAATTTGTTTGAAATTGACTCCTCAGGTCATCCAAGATGTAGATGAGTTTGTCTCTTCATCAGATTTGGAGAAATGTAGCATTACATCACTTGCTCAGCAATGGATGCTCTGCAGTGAATGGGTGCCGTCAGAATGAGAGTCCAAACAGCTGATAAAAACATCACAATAATCCACAAGTAATCCACACCACTCCAGTCCATCAGCTAATGTCTTGTGAAGAGAAAAACTGTGTGTTTGTAAGAAACGAATCCATCATTACAGTAATTTAACTGTAAACCGTTGCTTCTGGTTAAAATACGAGTCCTCTATTCATAATAATGCTTTCTCCAGTGAAAAGGTCATGTTGTCTGAAACCAAGAGAGAAATATGCACAGATCAAGCACTGTTTAAAAGCCAAAACTGTCCAAAACTGATATAAACAAATATGTCAGTGGATTTTGATGTGAGAGGAAAAAAGGAGATTTACCTTTTCACCAGAGTAAGTGTTATTATGGATTATGGACTCATATTATGACCTGAATTGACAGTTTAAAATTAAAAACCCATTGCTTATGGATTTATTTCTTACAAACACACAGCTTTTCACCTCACAAGACATTAACTGATGGACTGTGGATTACTTGTGGATTATTGTGTTGTTTTTATCAGCTGTTAGGACTCTCATTCTGACGGCACCCATTCACTGCAGAGGATCCACTGCTGAGCAAGTGATGTAATGCTACATTTCTCCAAATCTGTTCTGATGCAGAAACAAACTCATCTGCATCTTGGGTGGCCTGAGGGTGAGTGCATTTTCGGCCATTTATTTTTTTTGGATGAACTATTCCTTTAAGCAGTATTTATCAAAAATGCGTTTGCAACTAAAGCATCTGTTAACCCTCTTCTGCAGTCGTGATTCTACTGTAAAAGTTTTGAAATTAAAATGCTAATTCTCGTTTCTCAGCATGATCGTATAATGAATTCACACCCCTGTGAATCTGACCTAGCGGCGTGTGTCTCGCATAACTGAATAAGAGGGCAAGGGTTGTGACCTCTGTCAGCATTCAGCCTCTGTTTAGGAGACAAGAGGATGTAGAAATAACTTCCAGCGCTTGAGGGGCTCTTTGACATTTCGTTTTGACACCAGACCTGGGAAACTTCATCAAAAAATGTAAATTCAGAGAATGTATCACTTAAAGGCATAGTGTGTCACATATAAGAGCACATTTTGTAATTGATGTCTGGTGGAGGGGAACTCTTCCTTTAAAGGTCCAGGATTCTTTTTTTATGGTTCTATGTTTTGCTGAGTGCTATAACATTGGTCTAGGATGTGTCACTATGCAACAGTTTTTTTTTGGTAGTGTCACTAAATGATCAAAAATCATAAGCCATGATTTGATTATTCAGCAACTAAAAACAGAACAACAACAAAATGTTTATAGACAGGCCTACCATATAGGCCTTTTTAATTTTTTTATTCATTAATTTTTTTAACTGGCAAATTCCCAGGGAAAAACTACACTGTCCATCAGGGTTGGGCAAAATTCAGATTCATTAGTGTGATAATGCACATGAAGTTACATGGTGATGACTAGAAAATGAGTTTATTAAATTCCATTTCACAGAAATTCAACACAGATTGAATGTCTGTCTCTCTATCTAGTCTTTACAAACTTTGCTTTTCTGGTTTAAAAGGACAGTTACATGAATTTATTTTGATGAATTTCAATTCTGCATTCTGTTTGCTGCCTCAATTTTAATTGAAATCCAATTCAGGAATTGATAAACAGGTCAAAAGTTTTTTTTATGTTTTTGAAAAAAGTATCTTCTGCTCACCAAGGCTGCATTTAGTTGATCATAATTACAGTAAATACAGCAACATTTTTAAATATTATTACAATTTAAAATAACTGTTTTCTATTCGAATATATTTTAAAATTTAATTAATTTATGTGATCAAAACTGAATTTTCAGCATCATTACTCCAGTCTTCTGTAACACATGATTCTTCAGAAATCATTCGAATATGCCGATTTGCTGCTCAAGAAACATTTCTGATTATAAGCAATGTTGAAAACAATTGCTCTGCTTCATATTTTTTGGAAACTGTGATACATTTTATTTTTCAGGATTCTTTAATGAAGAGAAAGTTCAAAAGAACAGCATTCATTTGAAATATAGAAACCTTTTATAGCATTATAAATGTCTTTACTGTCACTTGATCAATCCAATGCATCCTTACTGTATAAAGGTATTCAAAATCTGTCATTATTTCAAACATTTGACCATTAGTGTGTATGTACGTCAGTGTTTTCCAATGAAAATAAGTTAAATTATTTAGAATGGCTAAAAGTCAATGTTTAAGTTGTACCTATTTTTGATTATCTGCCATTCTTCATGGGATTTTAGTTCCGCGTTTTACAATTTTCCTATTCTGTTTGCTTCAAAAAGTGATGTTGTGATTTATCATAGAGCTGGGTTAGTGTGTCTCAACATTTACAACTTCTTGTTGAAGAATGTTTCGGAAATATTTTGTAACATTATAAACGTCTTTAAATAATACAAATATTATTATTATTATTACTTTAATCTTTCCGTATCACAGTTTATGAAGCAGCACAACTGTTATCAGCATTGATGGTAATAAGAAATATTGAGCAGCAAATCAGCATATTAGAATGATTTCTGAAGGATCATGTGACACTGAAGACTGGAGTAATGATGCTGAAAATTCTGATTTCCATCACAGGTATAAATTACATTTTACAATATATTCACATAGCAAACAGTTGTTTTAAATTGTAATAATATTTCACAATTTTTGCTTTATTTTTAATTAAATAAATGAAGCTTTGCTGAGCAGAAGAGACTTATGTTGAAAACTTTTTACGAGTTGTATAAGCAACATGCACTTCTTTCTCAGAAAATGTACAAATCTGTTGTTTTCAGGCAGTCCTTGCATGAACTCTGAATCCCTGAGATCATATAGTTTAATTTCAGTTTCAAGAGTAAACGCTGATGTCTAGCAGAAATGGAGCAATATCGCTTTTATTAGTTTTTCGTTATTTGTTTAAAGGCTTAAAGCTGCAGTTATTACAGTGCACTTGTTGATTTGATCTTGCTTTGCCCTCTATATTAAAGATATCTTAATATCCTTCTAGATTTTGGTTCTTAACAAAGATTTCTTATGGCATCTTTATTTTTAAGGCCCAGTATTGTTCAATCCCAGAGATATGGGGATCACAATATGGCTCCAGGAGTAAATTGTAAACGTTTCCAGTTGTCAAAAACCAAATGTGGTCACTTTGCATACATCTGATAGATTTTTTTATTTTTTTTTTAAAGAGGACTGTCTGAAGAACAAATAATGTTATAACTAGAAATGTATCTAATTTCCTTCTGTCAAAGCAACTGCATGAATCATAACTGTCTGAGAGCCAACATTTTTTTTTCCAAAGTTTGCATGCATGTACCGCAAGCAGTATTAAAGATATCATAACAAGCTTTTAGATTTTGGTTATTAACACACACTTTTCTTTTGGTATCTTCATTTTTAAGGTCCTCTAAGGTTTAATCCCATGGATATGGGAATCTCAGTGTATCTCCATGGGCAAATTGTTACATTTCACATCAAATGTGGGTCACTTTTAATTTAGCTGATACTTATCGTATTTGACAAAATTGTCATTTTGACCACTGCCTACAAAATAGTGGATTACACAGTGAAAATTAATCTATGACGTTTAATATTTTGGCTTTCACTGCCATTTATGTTTGTCATTCTTCAGGGGAAAAAAAATTATTAGCTAGGGATGTTTCTGAAATTGGTTGACACAGAATGATCCTGCAATATGTGACACCGTGAATCAAAAGCATGCAAAAGAACATTACTGATTTTGTTTTTCTCACTTGGGTTTGTTAGGACACCGAATAGAGCACTACGGTAAGCAGTACACATGTTGTATATGTGTATGATTTCTCATTTCTTTGATGTCTGTGAATGTAGGGTGGACTCTGTATGTGTGCGGTCTATGTTTGTGTGCAGTTCTCTGTGTTGGTCTATACACTGCAAAAAAATATTTTCTTACTCAGTATTTTTGTCTTGTTGTCCAGTACAAATATCCCTTAAATCAAGATACTTTTACTTAAGACGCAAAATTACTTATTTAATTTTGATACATTTTTCAGAAAACAAGATAAGTAATTAAGCAAAACGAAAAGTAAATACCTACCAGTGGGGTAGGAAAAATAAACTTAATTCAAAGGGAAAACCAGTTTATTTTTCTCACCCCATTGCTGTCACAATTAACTCGGGGCGCAAGGAACGAGGAAACGAGGACTACTTGAATAACACAGTCTTTAATAATCCACAGGAAAACTGAGAACAAGGAGGACATTCAACAAGTAGACCTGACAAACAAGAACTGAAAGGACTAGGGCTTTTAAAGGCAGGATAATTGGGGAGGAACGAGACACACCTGGAATCAAATTAACACAATCAACATGAGGAACTGGGTCACTGGGGCAAAAACACACACAGAATAGTCCATAATCCTGACATAAACACGGAGGGAGGAGGCATGGAGGAGGAATGGCCACCGACTCCAGGGGGCCGACCAATGGCGGCGGAGCAGGTGGTGGAGGAGCCCGAGGCGGAGACGGAGAGCCAGAGCGATGGGGAGGATCAGGAGGTCCCAGCAGATGGTGCCTGGCGACCGACGCGGAGATGTGGATCCGGGAGGCGATGGTGGAGCCGGAGTGACAGAGGACTGAGGTGGAGACGAGAGGATGAAGTAGCCTGATGGACCCGGAGGGACGGGGCGAAGCCAGAGGAGTGGAGTCCCGAGGCGCAGGATGGTCGACGCCAGACCAAGGCGGAGCCGGAGGGACGAGGGAGCCTGGAGGAGCTTGTGGACTGTCGGGCCACGACAGAGAGGAGGGATATAGGAGCCATGGTGGAGCCGGCGGGTCAACGGGCCGAAGCAGAGTCCAGGCCTCGATGGCGGAGTCAAGGGAGACTCCAGCTACGGCGACGCTGGAGGATGGCAGTCCCGCGGGGCTCGCACCGAGCCCGAGGCGGAGACGGAGAGCCAGAGCGATGGGGAGGATCAGGAGGTCCCAGCAGATGGTGCCTGGCGACCGACGCGGAGATGTGGATCCGGGAGGCGATGGTGGAGCCGGAGTGACAGAGGACTGAGGTGGAGACGAGAGGATGAAGTAGCCTGATGGAGCCGGAGGGACGGGGCGAAGCCAGAGGAGTGGAGTCCCGAGGCGCAGGATGGTCGACGCCAGACCAAGGCGGAGCCGGAGGGACGAGGGAGCCTGGAGGAGCTTGTGGACTGTCGGGCCACGACAGAGAGGAGGGATATAGGAGCCATGGTGGAGCCGGCGGGTCAACGGGCCGAAGCAGAGTCCAGGCCTCGATGGCGGAGTCAAGGGAGACTCCAGCTACGGCGACGCTGGAGGATGGCAGTCCCGCGGGGCTCGCACCGCAATGATGGTGGGTTGAGGGCGAGCAGAGGGGCTGCCAGACGACAGCGGTGGAGGAGGCTGGACCGGGGGGGAGGGCG